GGCATACTCGGGGCCACACTAGGCACAACCCACCTCCCGGGGCTGTGAACCCAATCCCCGGAGTGAGAGCGCGGTGGTGGAGCGGATCGCGAAGCTGTCCCGGGACAGCTCGCGTGCAGCCCGGAGTCTCGGACAAGGGAGATTGAGAGACAAGAGAACAAGCCCGGGAGCAAGGTCGGCGCCAGGCCCTGTCCTCGCCCCAACGGTGACCAGGGACCGTCCCCACCCCGGGTTCCAACATCTCCAGGATCTGAGCTCTAGCTACGGAGCCATCCGGTGCACGCGCTCCGGCCCCCATCTTGGAGCCAGACACACACGGCCGGGCCCCGAGAGGCTAGGCTCCGAAAGTGGGGCGGCCCCACTTTAGCCACACTTACCTGGGGGGTTCGCCCCGGCCGGGCGCGCTCCCTGGCTGCCCTCTGGCGGCCACATCAGGTACCGGGTGCGCGCCCCGCCCTGGTCCGTCCCCTCTGACCCGGGACCGGTTCCTGCCAGCTGAAGAGCCCTGGCCTGAGGCCATCTGATAGATACCATCCCTTTTAGATGGCTCTTCTTGGCACGGAACGGATCTCGAGGGCTCCTTTTTGTTACAGATAACGAACAGCTCTGTCTCTTCTTTATGGAGCTTCAAACCCCTTCTAGCAATCCCAGGAGGCAAAAGATATATAGGTAGGGTTTCTGGAAACTGCAGCTGGAGCTCGATGTGTGTGTGTTGAGTGAATGACTGGGGGAGGTACGAAGGGAGGCAACTTGCTACAGTCTGCAGGGGAATCAGCCACACAGAGCCTAATCTCCTGTCTGCTTTGTCTTGGCTCCACCAGTTCAAAACGAATCAAGCTGTATTCATTTCCAGCCGCTGTGAGCCTGAATGGTGCCTGTGCATTCAAGTGGAGTGTAGCCATCTCCCCAGCTCACAAGACTAAATGTTTTTTAAAACAAAATCCTGAGATGGCCTTGGAAATCAGTAGCCCAGTGAAAAGCCTGAAACTCCTGGTTGCCATATTAACTCAGCAGCCCCGATTAGTCCCCAGGTCATATCGACTTTCATCTGGGTTCTAGCTCTTCCCCGTGGGAAATGTGATCTTGTGTGAATCTGTAAGTGAGACCTGCCAGGAAACTTTCCGTAGTGCAGAAATTTGTATAGCGGCCCTAGCCAGTAGCAACTGGCATTACTTCATTTAATTTGACTTACCATAAATTGCCACTGTGTATTGGGCAGTGAAGTCTCAGCTTCCGTCTTTCTTTGCAGATGGGAGAGAGGAGTGAGAACCAAACGCATGGGAAGCCCCTAACCCAAGGCTGGCTCACTGAAAGGGTCAATAGTAGGAGTTCCTACTGTCATCATCTTCTTACCGGTCATTTCCCTAACCCCCAGATCTCAGGGATGGGGGCTACCTCGAAAGGGGAATCTTGTTGGATTCCATGGAAGCCAAGGGTGACCGAGGTGGGGAACAAACATGCCAGGCAGACAGAGCTTAAGTGAGAAGTTTTGATAGAAAGAGAAGGAAGGAGGGGAGGACAGAGAAAAGAGGTCAAGAGACATGGAGACGGAGAGAGAACAGAAGAGGGAGACAGGAAAAGTACCATCTGCCCCCAAGGGAACAGCAGGAAAGAGAGCATAAAGGGGGGTGGGAGAGGTCTTTCTTCTCAAAGGGGCCCTTTGCACCTGCATGCAGACTACTAGTCATGGAACCCTGGACTGACCAGTGTACTGCCTGAATGCATTCTGCCAGGTGACAGGGGCAGGCCAGCATAATGCCTGAATCCTTACACCGCCTGTCTGCACACAAGCTGGCTTCCAGCAGTTGCTCACAGTACTGCATGCATAGCCTGTTACAGCACACTGAGATGACCCAGCCTCTCTTTGAAAGACCGGCCAGGAGAAACTGGTCAATACCCCAGTTGCATTGTGTAGTGCCTTGCTTTAGCTAGAGCTTCAGCCTGCAACTAGCAAAGCTTCTGGTGGGTGCTCGTGGCAGGCACTTCAGCCATGTGCTTGGGTTGGATTGAGGACTCTTGCCAGTTTCATTAATCTTTATTTCCTAAGTGTCCCACACAGGACTCCCAGCGGCAATACAACTAACTACCCTTGTGTGGCTGTTACCTGGGGGCATTTGGTATGTGAAAGGAGAGACAGCCTAGGCCTCCTATCCTGCACCAGTGTGAGATGGGCTCTTTCTCACTAGTGGCTCCCACATGCCCATTGATTGGGGGGGCACACTTCCACATGTCTGTCTGTATGTCTGTGTGTGAGAATGCCCACACATGTGAATGGGTGCACCACCATAGGCCAGTCACCAACTGTACAGGCTCTCGTTCCAAGGTCCTTTCTTCTTGCCAACTCTTCTCCCCGTAGTGTAGAGGAGCGCCTCCTGCACATCCACTTGACAAAATTCATTTTTGCTCTTTGATCCAAGCAAACTCTTTTCTTTCTTTGAAAGGATTACAGATGGGGGTCAGGATGTCGCTTGGTGGCAGAGCGCACCTGCCTTTGATCCTCAGCTTGATAGAAGAAACAAAAACCATGGTGTGTTGTCCACCTGAAATCCCAGCTACTTAGCAAACTAAGGCAGACAGATTCCCAAGTTCAAGGCCATCTATGTTATCCTGGGGGAAAAAAATGAGAAATATAGCAAAGACCTTGAAAAAAAAAATCACAGGTACATTTTTAAGATGCTGTATCCTGGCCTGGCCTCAAACTCTGTATGTAGCAGAGGGTGTGCTTGAACTCTTGTCCTCTTACATTCACTTCTGAGTGCTGAAGTTTCAGGCCTTCGCCCCTACACCTGGTTTATGCAGAGCTTGGGATTAAATGCAGAGTCTTGTGTGTGCCAAGCAAGCACCTAACCAACCGAGTCACATCCCCAGCCGGTATCCTTGCCAGCTGCAAATCCACCTGTTCTCTAAAGAAGGCAGACTCTTCATTCACTGTCAACAGAATGTCATTGTTTTGCAACAGAGTAATTATGTTGAGGTACCTGGGACACAGGTGAACAAACTGAAAGAGCTTCTGCCTCAGCCGAGTTTTCACACCCAGAGGAGAATGGACTCAGACAAGTAAGGGATCTCTGGTGTTGACTGGCGGGTATGCTTCCTCTCAACTCTGACTGGAACTTCCCAGTGAGATGGGTAGATAAGGACCCTTGCCAAGACTCCCTAAGAGCCCAAGCTGGTCCTTCATTAACCCCCACAAGCCAATGAGAGCCGCCGAGTTCCCTGGGAGGGGATGATGACAAAGCAGGCTCCTCTTTAGCCCCCTCTACTTCCCCCTTCGCCACCATGCCAGGATGCTCCCTGGCAGAATGTCACCAGAACCCAGAACCGCTGCCCCTGGAGAGGCAGAGCTTGGGGAGAAGTTTCTTGAGAATTGGGTCTTCATCCTGAAGTTTAGGAGCGGCATGGAGGTAGAGCGGAGTCACTCAGCCACCACACTGTTGTCATCTTCATCAAGGGACTCCTTTATTCTAGGGTTATCGTGTTCATAATGGGCTGTTTAGCAACATCCCTAGCCTTCACTCACTAAAGAGTAATAATGCAGACTTCCGTCACTCAGTTATGACAATAAAAAGTGTCTCTAGACTTTGCTAAATGTCCTCTGGGGGTCACCCTCCTCCCTCCCTCCCACATCAACAGTGAGAACCAAGTACCCAGGTTTCCAGCCTAGCAGTTAGTTCATGAAAGGGAGGTTGAGGAGCTGGGAAACTTGCAGTGCAGGACAAAGAAGGAGAGGGGAGGGGAGAGGGGAGGGGAGGGGTGGAAAGGACAGAGCAGGGCAGGGGAGGGCAGGCCTGCATCTCCAGTTGAGATGCCCAAAAGCCAAGAATGATCTGATGACTGCAGGGTTGGGGCGGGGTGTGAATGTCCAGCCGTCCTGGAAGATCCCAGGTCAAGAAGGTGCCTGGGCCCCAGGGAACTCCAGCTTGTAGAGGTGGAGAGGTTGAGGGGTGACCTCTATAGGCAGGTATTCACTCAGCTGTCTCAGCTCACAGAGGCTCCTGGAAAGACCCCCAAAAGTTGAAGTCTGGAGGAGACAAAAGGAAGAAGGGGGGAAAGCCCCCTTCCCCTCTGCTGCGGGGGAAACAAGTGGAACTAGAAGACAGTGGAACTCAGATTGAGAGATCTGCGGGATTAAGTGAGAGTCTGGAAAAAAATATGTCCACGTCAAACCCAGAACCTGTGACTGACCTGATTTGTAAAAAAATAATAACAGGGGCTGGAGAGATGGCTCAGGGGTTAAGAGCATTGCCCATTCTTCCAGAGGTCCTGAGTTCAATTCCCAGCAACCACATGGTGGCTCCCAACCATCTGTAATGAGATCTGGTGCCCTCTTCTGGATTGCAGGGATACATGCAGACAGAAAACTGTGTACATAATACATAAATAAATCTTTAAAAAAATAATTTTTTAAAAAGAGAAAATGAAAAAGGAGTCAGGTGTGGCGACACTCACCTTTAATCCCAGGACTTGGGAGGCAGAGGCAGGTGGATCTCAGTGAGTTCAAAGCCAGCCTGGTCTACGTAGAGAGTTCCAGGACAGCCAGGGCTACATAGAGAAACCCTGTTTCAAAAAAAAAAAAAAAAATTAGCAGACCTTAAATTAAGGATTTCACAGTGAGATATCCTCAATATCTAATAATCCTACACCCCATGGGAAGGATCACATGTAAAGGCCATGTGAAGGGTGAGAAAAACACTCAAGGGATGAAGACACACAAAAGGCTACCTGGTGCCACCAGGAGCTGGGAGAAGCCAGGAGAGAAGCATAGGGAGGACTGCCATGGGTTCAAGGCCATTCTGAGCTACAGAGTAAAACCCTCCTCGAAAACTAAGTGATAGGGGGATTAGAGAGATGGCTCAATGGTTAAGA